TATTATTACAGCAGTTTTTATTAGTGTAACACAGCTAATCTGTTCTCTGGAAAATTCTAGAATTACTGACTGAACTGAATTATTTAGATATAAAGGAAGATAAATCAACTAACTGAAGTGAGGACATGTTTGTGCCCAGGTGTGTTTGTAATGAACATCCCCTCAGTGTTTTCTCACCGTGTGTCATCCTATCATTTCTTATCTGTCACTTCATATTAAACTTTACTCTCTGCTTCCTGCTCTCTGACGGGTTCATCTTCTTTTGAATTTAGTTCTTTCTTTCTTTTTGCTGTGTTGTTTTATTGCCTCCTGTGAATTTGATGTGTATTTTTTCTGATTTCTCTTTCATGTTAACTTATGTCCATCAGCCTTTGTGAGCAGGAGACAAATATGAAGTTACTGTTTGTGTTTCTGTCACCAGTATTACTGTGAATAGCACAGAGTCGGTGTCCTGCAAACACAGTCTCCTGAAATGAGGACGAATGTTCCTGACAACACACTCCTTTCACTTACATTCAAATATTAGCCGTAGCTGTGGGTAAATATTTGGAAACCAAGCCCCTGTCCTGCAAAAAGACTAACGTCAGACTTTAATGACAAATTTAGAAAATACAAAACTATATTTAGTTCATAGAAAATCATTCTCACAATTTTGATTTCAATTCTTTTGTGTAGAAATATATTTCAAAACATGAAAAACAAACATAAAACTTACAAAACTGAGTAAATGGGCAATGTGAATGGTGGGAATTTGTGAGGAAAGCTTTTATGTATCAAAGCTCTCACAAGAGAATATGTGGCCTTATAATGTTTAAAAACATGGAATTAATTTTGGGGTTAACATAACAATTATTTAACACATAAAATAATTGTTTTTTTTATTAAACCTAAAGAATACTTGAACTCTTCAGTTCATCAAACAGCAGCTTGGGGTTTGCAGGAGACAGACTCGCTCTCTGGAAGACTAAACAGATGATTTTCTGTGTTAAATTTAAAAATGCTCAGCACTCAGCATCACATTGCTTACTCAGCAAGGTATTCTGGGTATAAAAAAACCACAAGACGTAAATGTGCTTTGTGAGTGCAGATGAGGACGACCAAACACACAAGCTGACTCACCGCCGTCTATAGATCTGCAACAATAGGAAGCAGGACGGTGGATTTCTCAGAAAAATAAAAATCACATAATGAAGGAGAACCGAGTGATTAATGGCACTGCATTTATTTCACATGGGAGCAGAATTTTCTACTTCTTGCATGTCAGGACTCATCAAGTAATTGGCGAAAACAGTCATGTGAGTTCACACTGCCTTTCCTTTTTTATAAAAGGCTGATAAAATAAATCAAATCATGACGTACAGGATTCAACCTAAACAAGTCACACGAGCTGCATGGCTGGTTTCAAACCAGTGGACACTGTAAGGTCAAAGGCAGAATTTAGCGGGTGAATCTAATCAGCATCATCAACTTAAATATAAATTAATGTCTGCTAGATTTGATGTAACCTAGTAACAACCCTAGATATAAGCAGCCCGATACTGCATCACTGTAATCTTTGTCAGAACACTGCAAACTAACCTCTTTAACCTGCACTGAACTGCATAGTATCTGTATGCAACCCTTTAATAAAACAAACTTCAAGTGCCTTCAAGTCGGGTTTGCGTCACATAAACCTCTGTGAACATTATGTATAGATCCACTGTCTGATTTAAAAACTCCAAAATGAATTAGGGCGTTCAATGCCACACTTAAATGTAACTTAAAGAAGTTGGGATTTTAAGGTTGTAAAGAAATGCTAGCAAATAATTCCAGAGTGTAAATCAACATAAACATGTCGGATGAATCTACTCAAGAAATTCACATTTTTAAGTGTTGAAAAATGTCAGTTTCTTGAAAAAAAAAATGAAGACATACAATTGAAAACACAAACTTTTGATTAACTAGTAAAATAATGTCACATTAATTAAATACTGTATGTATTTAGAAACTGTGTTCTCTCCCATATGTGTTGGATGCTGCATTAGGCCTCAGTTTCACAGGCTGGCGATCTGCTGTCAGCATCAGGTTGCTTGTGAAAAATGAGTATTCTCAGACTGGTTGGGGAATGGTTGCTGGAAGTTGCTGGCTGTTACTGTATGAAATCGGTTGCACAATCATGAAAAATGCCAGCTTTACTGCAAAGGGATAATCATTTGCCTTCAAAGGTGAACGGTTTCATTTTGTGGTACATCTGTTAGTTTCAGCGAGTCAGGATCTTCCACATAGAAGACCAAGAAAAGCACTGTATACCTCTTTCTGACCAATTTCACTTAGCAACAGCAAGCAACAACTCACCAACTGGTCACGAAATATACTTTAATAAAGCAACCAATGGTTGCCGTAGTGATTTACAACTCTGCAGCCTTTTCTCGACCCAACGTCGAATTTAAACTGTCACTTTTTTCCTCTGTCACATCCGACTGAAAGACAATAAAGAAGATGGACGTAGCCTCCGAGTCCACAAAGTGAAGCAAATAAACACTTTCCTGATGAGTTTATTAGGGGTGCAACAATACTTGTATCGGTATTGAACCGTTCGATACAGTGCTTTCGGTTCGGTACGCATATGTATCGAACAATACCAAAATTTTTATTTATTTTAGCAACTTTTCTTCTGACGATGCTGGCTGTGCTGAGAGCTCAGTGGATCTGCGTTCGACTACTCCGCCTAGGCTGGACTGTCGAGTGCAGATCCACTGAGCACAGCGCAAGCTAGCAAGACAGAAGCTAAGCTCATTGCAACATGGCAAATTGAACCTCCCCCACCCTCGTTCAGATCTGGCGTTTGGAACTATCTTGGTTTTCATGTGACGTATGACCCTGAAGGTAAGCGAGTCATGGACAAAAGTAAAACAGTATGTCGGATGTGCCACGCAATGCTCAATTACATGGGTGGGAACTACTGTGTTAGCGCAGTTAGCTCGTTAACGTGTTGACGCCGTCCAGCGGTAACTCGTTAAGGGAGATTTGCCGCGTTATGGCGTTAACGTCATTTTAACGAGATTAACCCTGACAGCACTAGTGGGAACACAACGAATATGACTGCACATTTACACCGACAGCATCCTAGTGCAAAGACAAGTGGAAGCAGACAAAAACAACAAGCACGCATGCTACAAACTTTACCCGAGTCATTTAGACAGCCGTTAGCACAGGATTCTCCTCATGGGGACCTGATATGTTTAATACGCTGCTGAGAATGTAGCCCAGAAGAAGCGTATAGTATAGCTTTTATTTTGGAAAGAGACATTTCTCTGTAATAAACTCTCTTTTCCAAAGATGACTGATTTCTCCATCAGATAGATTTTTTTTTTTTTATTATTTTCTTGTTTCAGCAACATTAAATTTAAAAACTGTATTTTTGAGCTAAAATATATATTTATAATTTTAATAAATGACAAATTAAAAAGGCATGAACATTTTTTTGTATCAAAAAAATATTGAACCATGACACCAAAGTATCGAATCGAACCATGAATTTTGTGTATCGTTGCACCCCTAGAGTTTATAGGCTTGGTCGCTCATCTGTAGTCATATTGGGGGGAAATGAAGTCGGTTTTGTACATTTTGGTCCATGAAAAGTGTCACAAAGGAGGATTATACACTTTCACAGTCAGATACACCAATCACTTGTCACCAGTTTTAAAATACCAATGCTCATCTTGAGGGTTCAAAACAGGACTTGATAAACCAATGGGTGACTCACAGTTTACATGTCCATCTTTTATACTGTCTATCATCCAACTGCATGGCGTGCTGTGTTGTTAAATTAATGTGTTGGTCAGGTGGTCATTCATTGTTGGCAACACTGATGTTGTCTGGTCTAACTCTGGTCTCTGATCAGTTTCTGGGTTCATCCATCTGTTTGAGCATGTTGATTTTGGTTTGCTCCGCCATCACCTGATCAGCAACACACTGAAACCTTAACATTTAACTAGAGACCACATGTAAATGGTTTGTCTGTACGTATGAATGCTGGTTTCCGTGCAGGTGGTGGTCAACGCTCTGATCGGCGCGATTCCCTCCATCATGAATGTGCTGCTGGTCTGTCTCATCTTCTGGCTCATCTTCAGCATCATGGGCGTCAACCTTTTTGCTGGAAAGTTTGGTCGCTGCGTCAACAGCACGGGCCAAGTCTACGACGCTTCTGCAATCACCAATAAGTCGCAGTGCGAGACCCACAACGACACCTCGACGCACTACTGGAGCAAAGTCAAGGTCAACTTTGACAACGTGGGTGCCGGGTACCTGGCCCTGCTACAAGTGGTAAGATACTTTATGTTTACTTATTGGAATCAGAGACTTTTATGATCTCCACTTTTTTTGTTTTTGGCTTTTCAAATTTCTACTTAGGTTTCTTTGGTTTCCATGAAAGATTTATTTTCAGTTTTTACTGGTCAAACGTGTGCCAAGGTTCTCTCTTTTACTAAGGTATAAAAATACAGATGTACACACAGATCCTGGTTAGTTAAATAAAAGAAAGCTTCTAGTAGCGGCCCTTTGGCCAACATTTTCACGTTTGCATTAATTTAATAAGGTAGCCAGATAATTATGATGCACGGTGAATATGCACAGACTTATCATGCATAATGAGGCCAGAATGGAAGTTTCCCACATTTCCCACCGCTGCCTGTGCTTCTGTGCTCTGTAGAGAGAAAAAGTTGGAGCACTTTTTTTAAAAGCCATTTTCACAGTTGGCAAAGAGAGATGCCAGCTTGGGGTTTTGCTGCACAGTGAGTCATGATTCATTATGTGACCTTTCACAAAGGTCACTTTTAAGTTGTTATTAGACACCTAAAAGCACCCCCAGTGCTTTATTTATGGCGTGGGTCGCAGCTTTCCTTGCCTACTTTGTGTTTTCAAAAAATGCATTCAGACCCAGAGACCTGGAGAGAGTGACACGACAGGAAATGTGTAGGATGTTTTCAGACTTGCCACGCCAGCCGCGGTTCTTTTACTCTTTTTATATGTCCTGTTTGAAGACGCGTTCCCTGGGAAGTTCTACCCCCTACAGATCTCAGTGCAGCTGTGCAAAACAATCAGTAGCACACACACACTGAAACAGGATCACGAGGCAGAGCCGCAGATGAAAACGAAGAACAAAATTCTGTCATTGCGGCGCCTGTGTGAAGCTTTGAGGGAAACAAAGAGGTTCGAGTGAAGAAATCGAGGCACAAAGTGAAAAATCCTCTCCTTCAAAACAAATTAAAGCTGAGAGTCTCCTCCACATGCCGTAGGAGGATTGACTTTTCCGCTTCTCCCGTCCCTCTCTCTCTTGATCTCGTCTTTTCGTTTCATCAATTTGTCGCCTTAATTTTCCTCCCACACCTGTTCTTCATTGCTCTTGCTTTTGTCTTTTCCACTTGTCCACTCTGCCTGCCTCTCTTTGTCCTGTTAACGTTGCTTTCGTTCCACAGCCTTCTGTCCTCTCTGTCATTTATGAGAGCAGTTTTAAACCTCACATTGCCTACAGTAAGTGGCAGGTACACAAACTGCAATTTGAATAAGTAACACATAAGCTGTGAATGACTGAGAGGTACTGATGGGAAAAATAATTGAAAATCTGTTGGGAGGTTATTATTAAAAAATAATACCTCTCACGGTCAGTCACAGCCGTTAATCTTCATCTGTGTTTCCGGACATGAATTTATTTAGACTCACATATTTTTGATTAGTTATTTCCAACGAACAGGTTTTGTTGTTGGCAGCGTTTCCATGCATGCGCCTCACTCTGTCTGTAAACATGATCGCTGGAAAACCATTGAATGAATTCTTTTTTGTAAACATATATTTATTGAATTTTGGTTTCATAAACATCAAACACTTTAAACATATGGCAGTAAGAAAGCAATAAAAACACAAGACACTCAGAAAACAAAAACAAATTAAAAAAATTATACTTAAAAAATTAAATATGTATAACACCCAGCACGCCCCTGCGGGCGGTTTATCCTTCAAGCTCGGGTCCTCTGCCAGAGGCCTGGGAGCTTGAGGGTTCTGCGCAGTATCTTAGCTGTTCCCAGGACTGCGCTCTTCTGGACAGAGATCTCCGATGTTATTCCCGGGATCTGCTGGAGCCACTCGCCTAGCTTG